AGCTGCGCTTTTCTTGGAGGACTCCCCTTCTGTGATGGTCTTCCCTTTCAGCCGCTCTACTCATGCAGCTAGGGCAGCAGTGGGCTGCCCATCCCACCTCCTCATGTTTTCTCCAAGGTCGTGGAGGAAAATCCACAGGGTGCCTCATGGTGTGTACCTTCTGCTGCCTTTCTCTTGGATGGGGAAACCTTTACTTCTAATGGCTGAGACATTGTCCTGTGCAAGTGGAACGTAGGACATGTCCTCTTCCATTTTCTGGACCCTCTGAGACAGTTCCTCCACAGCTGAGACCAGGGAATGTTGAGATGAAGGGAGATTTCCCTCATATTGCTGGAGCTTGCCAACCACTCCATCCACTGTTTGAGTGTGGGTGACTGTCCACCAGGACACTCTTGCCAATGCTTTCGAGTGTGCTTCTGGTGCGCTCTTCAGGAACTTTCGGCACATCATGGGTGTGCAAGGGGCCTGATCTGGGTCCATGGGTGACTGCTCATTATTCCGATCACCATGGATCATCTCAAACACAGCCATTTCCCTGAAGTTCTGGATGCCTTTCTCAATGCTGGTCCATTTGCTCAGCTGACATAGGATATCATCCTTGTAGGGGTGCCTCTCCCTTACACTGAACAGGAGTCGCTTCCAAAAGCTGAGGGTTTGAGTCTGCTTACCTATTTCTCTATCAATGCCAGCATCCTTGGCCAAAGATCCCAGATGCTTGGCCTCTCTACCCTCCATCTCAAAAGCACTGGCTTTATTGTCCCAGCATTGGAGCCGCCAGGTACAAATCTGCTCGCCTCCCAGGCGGCCGAAATCTCTCCGCATATCTCGCAGCTCAGCCGGGGATAGAGATTGGATGATCACCTCTGGCCCTTCCTCCTGTTCCCCTGATGGGCCTGGCTCTTCACCATCCCTCACTTTGGAACTGACTTTCTGGTATATTTTTTTTTCTTTATCGGGGCGACTGATACTGGCACTGGCTGGCTCTCTGGCTCAGTTGCTCTGCCGGTGGATGCGACTTAGACTGGCTCAGTATCTGGACTGGGGGGACAGGAAGTTTCAGTGAGTTCATTCTCAGGTTCTGTAGCCTTTTCTTCCCTTTGAGGGCAGTGGGTGATATTAAAGAGGTCACGGTACGCATCGGCAAGTCCCCAACACATTGCAGCGATTTGAGTCTCCTGGGTTTTGCCAGTTTGGTAGCACACCCTTTCTAAGCCCTCCATCAGCTTCTCAGGGCTCTGCATTTGTTCAGGAGTGAAGTTCCAAAGCATTGGAGGTGCTTACCGACTCAGGCCTTTGCCCATCTTTTCCCACACCCCTTGCCACTCACTATTATCTGACCTTGGGGCAGGTTTCTGGGCACTGCTATTGTTAGAGAAATGCCGCATGGCCAAAACAGGCAGACATTCAGAAAGAATTGTGCCACAATCACACTGGCCTGCAGGCTCCAAGGATAACTGAAACTCCTCAAAACCAAGAGGATTTCTTCCTCTGGCTCACCCATAGAGGGGGTGAGACCCCTAACTAAAGACCAAATGGCAAACAGGTATCAGCACCCCACCCCCCACCCCCAGCAATACAAAGGCATTATAAGCATTCAGTAGCCCCTATAACAACATAAGATCCTTTATACATTTTCCACCGATAAGAAACGCCACCACAGGGATCATACAGTGGATATAAGGATTAATCCAGCCCCATCACGCAAGCAAGTGGGCCAGAATTGCAAACATTTTCTTATCAAACAAATACAAATAGAAAAATTACACCCAACAGATTGCTCTACCACAGTCTGGTCAGGGTCTGTCCTTTTTTATTCTTATTTCGAGCCCCATGTTGGGCCCCAATTAAGGCTGTTGGGGTTTAAGCCCTGCCGGGACCGGAGGGCATGTTGCTGTTGCCCCTCCCCCACCCTCAGCCGGTCAGGCTGGAAGTGAGGCACAAACCCAGGTTAAAATAAGAAGAAATTTAATACAACAGTGTGATAAAACAATCTGAACAACAACAGTGGCAATGATAACAACAATAAACAGCAATAACAGCGAACAAGACAAACGATATACAGAGAAATACTGCAAAGTGGTCACGGAACAGCTTCCCACCATCAAGCCCACCAAAGAGCAAGTAAGAAGGTTCCGCCCCTGAATCTGAAGCCAGCATGATATGAATAACCCAGCTGGAGATCCCTTCCCCCTCTCTCTCTGCTGGGGAAACCTAACACTATCCTAGTTGAACCAGGACACAGGGGCGTGGGGGGCAGGCGCCTTCCTCTGCCGAGGCGGCAGCGCGCATGGGCTTGGGCAAAAGGCAGCGGGAGTGGGGCGGGATGCTCCAGTGATTGTTCCCTTGAGCTTGAAAGGGGAGACTCAAGCGGCAGCGGCGAATCTGTTGATTTTTGCTCTTGAATTTCCTGCTGCACGGGTGCTGCGTGTGAAGCGTCCCTGGGCACTATGCATAAGGCGTCCCCACCCCTCCTTTTAGGAGCTGTCTTGGGGAACAGGGATTCTGCGAACGCCATAGCAGTAGCTGAATCCTTATCACTAGAGTCTTCTGCCTCTGCTGACAAGGCAGTGAAAGCAGAGACGATGCTCTGCCATTCTGCTTTCATCTCTTTCAGAGCCTCTAGGGTCAATCTCCACATGGTGGAGAGTTTCCCACTGTCTTTGGAATCGTCCCACAGTGCTGCACCAAGGCTGCACTCGCTGTGGGTATTAGCCCGTGCTGTCCAGCCCATGACAGTAACTTCCTCATGTTTCCCTCATCATTAAATAATCCGCTCTTACAGATTATATGTTAGAGGAGCTCTGCCACTTCTTTGCGTGGCATGGACCCCATCTCCCACCCAGCCACTCACCTGATCAGGGTGAGATTCTTGACGATTGTGCATGCGCGACTTCACAGGCACCAAGGCAGCACCTGCTTTGGCTGGCTTCCATTCCCTCTGGGCTGTCTGCTCTTGCTCAGGTGAGCACTGACGGAAGAATCCCTGTTCGGGTGCCAGTTGCTGACGTGGAAGCCCTGGACACAACTTATACAACCAATGTGATCAAGTTAATGCCACTTTATTAAAGGATACACAGCAATTTATAAACTACTATAAAGCACACGTGCAGCTACTCGATTGCTAATAGGCTAAAGCTACTTGTCCATGCGCCCTTTTGCCCTCTATGATTGGTCCTGGTGTGGTGTCCACGCGCCGCTCTCCTACGAGGCAAACATCTTGTTTTCCACAGTCCAGCTTCCTTATCTCTTTACTATGCACGAAGTTTCTCAATCCCTTGGCCTTGCAGGTGTTCTTCACAACAGCCACAGCCTGTTGTTACAGTGAGGCCACTTGGTCTGGATCGCTCATAATATGTCCGTTGTTTTCCAGCCATTCCACAGATACTCAAGGATATTTTCTTGCAAATGGGTGTGTTGAACTGAGCTGAACATTGTAAAGATATCAGCTGTAATCTTATCATGTAGTACACATTCTTGATTGATTGTTTCCCAATATCTGGCAGAGATCTCTGAAACAATTGCCTTTAATCTACCTTCCATGGGGCAAAAGGCACCAGTTACTTTTTACTTAAAATGACCATAATTTTCCAATAACATCTTGGGCAGCATGAAAGCTGATTTTAGTAATCTTGTTTTCAGTGAGCTAAAATCAGATTATCCACTGGGAAGATGGCCAATTTCAAGAACTATGGGTGAGAGAATGGATTGGGATTTTGAAGATCATGTAATAATTTAGGTTGGAATGGGACCTCAGGAGATTTTCTAGTTCAACCCCTTACTCAAAGCTGGGCCAACTCAGGGGCCAGGCCCACCTGAGTCTTGAACACCTGGATGGACATTCCCCAACCTCTTTGGACTCCTGTTCTGGTGCTCCCTAGCACTTTTTCCTAGTTTTTCTTGATGTAATTTATGTCTGTTGCCCATGATCCTTTCACTGTGTACCTCCAAGGAAGTATTTAATTCCATATTCTTTATAATCACCACCCAGCAGACAGTGGAAGACATACAACAAGACACACGTACCTCTACCCCCCCAGTTTTTTTCTGCTCCAGTCTGTCCAAACACAGATCTCTCAGACATGCAGGGATTAAGGTTGTGAGAATGGTATAATAAAATGAAGCCTGCCAGAATGCAGGCTATTAGGAAAATATGTACAGGTAAAGGATCCAGGCCCTACCCAGCAGAAGGTACATGAAGTCTCCCAGATTGGTATTTTTTACTCTGGATAATTTGTAAAGAAAAGGAAGTAAAATGCTACTGAGCAGCAGAGCTTGGCTTGACAGTAATATTAAAAGACCGCAAGTTTTTTTCTTGTTTATACCTATTGGAAGATGAGATTGAAGGCTGTAGGAAAAAACAAAACAAAACAAAACAAAACAAAACCAACACTTTTATATTAGTCTCCTTATTTGGAGAAATTGTAGAAGACTATAAAACTGTTTTTCTAATGGCTGCTCTTGGTACAATGATTTTCCTCAGCAGGAAATAGGTGTTGAGCCCTATCCAATAAAAATGCTGCGTTACCATTGTAAATCCTTCTAAAAAGATTGTGGAAAAGTCATCTTCCTGGCACATCAGACCAGATACACCATCCCGCTGCACACGTTTTCATCTTATAATTTTGTTGTCTTTTTCTTGCCAAGCACAAATGAATTCTTTTCACTGCCACAGGTCCTTCATAGTAGCATACTTAATAACACCAATTCTGCCCTCTTTCCCACCTATTTCCCCTGCTGTATCATAGCCATGCTTACACCCAAGCTCTGATAAAAGGCAACTAAAAAACCAGCCAAGGTGCTCATTTGGCTTTCTAAAAATTATCTCTGAGTGTGGTAGAAGTTAGCATTTATAAAACAAATCAGTGCTTGAGCAGTGGAAGCAGAGTTAGATGAACCGCTAAACTTTCACACTGAACAAAAAAATGGCTGCATAATTATTACTATAGGGTAAGAAGAAGCTGTTTCACTCTAAAACTTTGAAATGTATTTCCTTTACTTACCTTGAAATGTCATAGTTGACATTAACAACTGAGAAATTCTCCTGACCACTCCAGCTTGGAAAGGTCTCTTTCAATACTGCTTGCTTCAGGAGCTCCATGCCAATCCTCCTGCCTACAAGGGAACAGAGGAAAGCACATGCCTTGCAGATTGGATTCAGCCATCCAAAGGTCCAGATTTACTACCAAGTAATTTAACCATCACTTTTAACATAGTTCTTGAAACACCCTGATTCTATGATACTTAACTAGATCTTCCAACCCCTACACACCCATTTATAACTTCTATTAGTTTCATATACAAATCATTTAACTGAAGATCAAGATCATCTGTTAGGATCATGTCATCCCTGATATACTATAATATATACTAGAACTTGTCAGGTTTCTGAAACTTCCTTCAATTCACTCACAATGTGGACAGCCTTGGGAAACACCTGATATCACCTTTACCTCAGATTGTCTCATACCTGTTGAATTAAAAAGTCAGTTAAGAAGTAGCAAGATGATTTCTATATGTAGTATTTACTTACAGAAGTGTGATATACATGTCTAAAGTGCTGGTATGTGTGATGGTTTGACTGGCTAAATGCCAGGTATCCACCAAGTCGCTCTATCACTTCCCCCCCACCTTTTCCCCTTGTTTTCTCAATAGGGTAAAGAGGGGAAAGAAGATAAACTAACCCTTGTGGGTGAAACAAAAGCAGTTTTAATATAAGCAAGGCAAAGCAAAAGTCCGCGCGCGGAAGCAAAAGCAAACAGATTTAGTCTCTACTTCCCATGGACAGGCGATGTCGGGCCTTCTCAGGAAGCAGGGCTCCAATACGCGTAGTGGTTGCCTCAGAGGACCAAGGGTGACCCCACCCCCTTCCTCCTTTCTCCCAGCTTTATACTGAGCAAACGTCATATGGTATGGAATATCCCTTTGGTTGGTTTGGGTCAGCTGTCCTGGCTGTGTCCCCTCCCAAGATCTTGCCCACCCCGTCCCACTGGGGGAAATGTCAGAAAAAGCCTTGGTGCTGTGTAAGCCCTGCTCAGCAGTAGCCACAACACCAGGGTGCTATCAACACCCTGCCAGCTCCCAGCATGAACCACAGCACCATGAGGGCTGCTGTAGGGGAAAACCAATTCCAGTTCAGCCAGACCCGGTACAGTATGTCAAATGTGCAACTATCTGGATTGTTACTTGTGTACAGGAAGTTGTTTGAGGTTTAAGAACAATCCTTCTAAACATTTCCTTCCCATTTCTTTCAGAGTACATACATATTGCCACTGCACCTTATCCATTACATCATGCTACAGATCTCTGTCTTATTTCATTATCTTCTCTTCTTACTTTAAGGAATCCCTAGTTTCTTGAACATTTCAATGCTACTTGTGCATTGATAATACACACAGACCGCTATCATCAAACAAACAGAACATCTTTAAATCCCAAATTCCTTTTGTCTTCCTTTTTTCTGCTCATCTCTGATGAAGACACTGCTTGTGGTGGTTTAGGCCCTGCTGGGACCAGAGACCACGCCGCTGTTGTCCCTCCCCCACCCTTGGACCAGTTGGGGCAGGGACTAAAATATAAACCCCGGGGTTGAGATAAGGAAAAAAAAATTAATACAACAGTGTAACAAATAATAAACTCAACAACAACAGTAATAACAATGAACAGAGTTACACCACATGGAGTACAGCAGTGAGGGTACTGACCACGAACACCACACATCCCCCCAGCAATTCCCATGCCTGGTGCCCAGATCTGACGTCAGCATGGTATTGAACAACCCAGCTAGAGCTCCCTCCCCACATTCTGGGGAAACTTAACCCTAACCTAGCTGAACCAGAACACTACTAAAACTTTAATACTGAATAATGTCCTGCTTTCAGATATTTTTAGTGTGAGTCTCTTTGGCTTTTGGCCTCACAGCTGCTGAATACAAAGTTTTTTTTTCTGCCCCAGACTTCAGTGTATTAAAAAAGCAAATAATTTAAATCAATAACTCAACATGGAAGTACCTTTTTATAAAATACATCTTTTATGAAGGAGAGGTAAGTTATGATTCCCTGGGAATTCCTTCCTCCAAAGCAAAATATGGGCTCTGACTGAAATAACTTAAAGCTCTCTTATGACTGTCAGTGAAGGCAACCATTGGTCACAGGTGGAATTTCTCTCAAGGTTATTGTAGCAGGCAAGGATCATGTAGTCAGGGTCTATTGCCTCAGCTTTCAAATATAATATTAAGGAAAAAGACATGACATGCATCATGCTCTTCAAATATGAGAAATACCTTTGATAGGTATTTGGCTGTTCTTACTACTAATGCAGGGATGCTCAAACTTCATTTGTTTGTTCAGCACTTGAAGGCCATGCTGAATGTCACAAAAACTGCTGGGCTCACACTAAGAAACACCAAGCTGAATGTGGGAATTAAGAACTGGTGGTTAGTAAAATGTAAACTGACCTTGACGTTAGAAGAATGATTGTGGGAAACTGAGGCAGCATTATGTAACACTGTGTTGAGTGAAAAACAGCAATAAAAAACACCACCTGCAGAGTGTGGTGAGCATGTAAGCAATAAACAGACAAAACCTAAAGGTCAGTAAAAGTAAAAACAAATCTATGTAAACAGGTGGTAATAAATTGGGAACTTGCACATAGTCAGGAAGCATTTGCTCTTGGCAATGCCTCCCCTTCATCAAACTGGTTGTGGGTGTGTACGCCGGGTTGCAAACCATCTGCATCACTGACAATGTAAAAGTGTCATCAGCATTCAAGTTAGAAGATTAACAATGTCTAAATTAATGACGCACTTGTGTTAGAAGACTAACGGCATCTAGATTAACGATGGCTAAAAGTGAAAGGTTTTTTTCTCATTAGGGAAGAAACAGGTAAGAAAGGAATCTGTAGAATAACAAAGCAGAAATTTATCTACCAGTTGTGGAGGCTTAGTAGTGCTTGTTGAAAGTGCTGAGAGGAACGAGTTTTTGAAATAAGCATGCGCCAGAGCAACACATGGATTTGCTGTCACAAGAATATATAAGGACTTGTTTTTCTAATAAAGATTGGAGCTTGACTGTTAACCATATTGGTGTGTGTCTTGTCTCACAGCCTCGTCCAGCAAATAAGGGGGTTCCTGCTATAACTGGCGCCCGAACAGGGACTCTCCTTTTTATCGCTTAAATGCGGAAACTCGCTTAAATGCAGAAATCGCTTAAATGCGGAAACTTGCTCAAATGCGGAAATCACTTAAATGCGGAAGACTCCGAAGCATCACCAAAGGTGATACCGGGAGCTTGGAGGCGGGGAAGCAGAAGGGCACAGGACCAAACACCAGAGCGTGGAGATCCTGCAGGTATGGAAAAAGACGCAGCCCTAAAACTGCTGTTAAGTATCCTCTCTATGAGAGGCAAAGAAACAGCTCTTAGAAATCTTAAACAGCTCACTGAGTGAGTGCATGGAGAACTTTTTTTTTGAGATAAGAAAAAGACAAATAATGAACGCAGCCAGGCTGCTAACACAGAGAACGAGAACACAGAGGGAGAGGATGCATATTTTGAACCTCGGGAGCAAGAGTTATATGCTGGGTCTTTTGACTGTGATAATCTTTTCGACCCTGACGCTGTAAATCCTGAAAAAGAATCTGGCCTGTGTCCTCCCTTAGCTGGGGATGATCCGTGAGTAAAGTGAGGCGAAAAACCTTGGTGCAAGGGGATATGGCCATGGCGAGAAAGATTGTTACTCCTTTAAGCTATGAGCTGAGACATCTGCCACGTTGGGAAGGACAGAATTTTTCTGTTATTAAAGATCTTCAGAAAAGCATTAATGAAGATGGGTTGCAAAACTCATTTACAACAGCTGTACTGGAGGCGATGGCTCAGGGATATCAATTGGCCCCATAAAAATTGGCTAACACTTTTAAGAAAAAAATGGCATTCACGCTGACACATTACTCTATCTGGAAAACCGAGTGTGTGAATTTTGTACTCAGTATTCGCACCCCTCCACACCTGCAGGCGCAGAGTTGGCGGCGGTGGCCCGGGGCCTCCCCGAGCCCCCCCGCCGAGGAGCGGCCGCCTGCAGCTGAGCCCGGCACTGTGCTCTCGGCACAACCCCCGCCCGCCATAAGCGGCTGGTTTTTCATAGAGAAGGTGCAATGGCTTTATATGTTCTTAATGGTGTTTTCGTATTGGTAACATTTGTCATTTTATGCTGTGAGTAATAGGTGTCAGGGGCTCCTTTGTGTGTTTCTGTAGTTGTGTGATTGTGTGTGTGTGTGACGCGGCCCACTGCAGCTGCGGAGTTCTCCGGCCAGGGAAGCGGCCGGCGAGAAACTACAGGGTCCTAGTGCCCGCCCGCTGGGTCATCGGTGCTGCGGTTGATTTGGGCTCAGGGTTATAACTGTTGCAGGTAAAATACCTCCTCTAACGGGAGGCAGTAATTCTGTGTTGATTGTTGTTTTGAATTTAGGTGCATACTCTGCGGGGAGAGTGCACCTCTGAACCATCTGCCTAATGGAAATATTGTTTTTTTTAAAAAAAAAAAAATCATCTGCAAACTTACAGGGGTTGTTTGTTTTACCAGGGGTCGTAGATGCTGATTATGGAGAGAAAAATCAAAATTATGGTCTGTACCCCTGTGTTCAGTAACAAAAGGATCAAAAAATTATTCAGCTTGTTAATCTTACTGCAGCTCCCCCTAATACTATGCCAAAAAGCCGCAATGACTCAGGATTTAGATCAGCAGGCACCCCTTAAATATTTTTGGTCTCAGACAGTGACACAAGGTTGACTTCTAGTAAAATTTAGTCTCATTAAAGCTAAAAAAATCTGTTGAGCTGACAGACATTTTAGATACTGGTGCAGATGTGACCATAATATCTGTGAGCAGATTGGCTGTTAGCTCCAGTAACTCAAATGCTTTTCAGGGTTGGTGGTCATACTGTAGCAACTTAAAGCAAAGATCTCATTCATGTAAGGGGCCCAAAAAAATGGGTAGCAAATATTCATCCATTTATACTGGAAAACCCTATTGCATTTTGGGGTCATGACTGTGTAGCTCAATGGAGAACTCAAATTGGATCAAATTTGTCTTAATCACCACTGTAGCACAACCCACCCTGA